CTTGAGCGTCGCCAACACGACGTTCCAATCCCTTGCGTTGTCCAAGCAGGATGTGTATGCCGACATTCTCAGCTATGTCGACGACATCTTGCGCCCCCTCACGGAGGCAAAGGACACGGAAGGCGGAAGCCGACCCTTACCTGCAACAAGGCAGCAGAACCCAGATGTCACCAGGTGCTCGCGTCCTGGGTACGGTTCTCATCAGGGGCCCACTCATGGCTACAGTCAGCAGGAATGGAATGACTACTACAATCAGTGGACTGACCAGGAGTGGGAAGATTGGCGCCGTCGAAACCAAGGCCACCAATACAGGGATCGACGTTGGTCGGGCTATCGCTGAGGCACCGCGGAGGGGAACCTCTCGCCTGGTGGATTTATCTTCATCTGAGGCGGGGTAGTTTCTCTCAATGTGAGGTGTCGCACAGCGGAAGCTGTTGCCTTTTCGGATTTAATTCGGTTAGGTGACTAGCTTCATTTTGCACAGGTGGGTGAGCGATTCCACCATCATTTCGGACACAAGTGTGCTAAGTCGGAATTTTTGCCAACTCATTCAAGTTCACAAAAGTTTTCATTAACGCTTTGAATGCATATAATTTGAAGCAGGCATTTGGCACTCATCTTATTCTTGCCATGATTCCTTCTTGCATAGCGCACGGCTGGTAGTTGCATGTACCGCAGAGCGGAAGCTCTTGCCTTGCGAAGTTAAGGCAGCTTTGAAGCATTTCTAAAGGCTTCCCTGCGGGCTCACACGACATTGAATTCAGCTTTTGCCATAATTCAGATTGCTTTGCTTTGGCAAGCTCCTGGGCGACCACAAGAACTTTTGTTGCCGCGTGGAAACGCTGGCCTAGTATCGGGCCAAGACCTTTTCTTTCCACATTGCATGTTCGACCACAAGCCCGGTCGAGCCTAAAATAAAGCTGAATGCATCCGACCGAATTGATGTTCACTGCATCCGTTGACCTTCGTACTTGATGTCGAGTCAATTGTATTGCATTGTCATTTTCTGCACTTGTTGCCTATGACTGCATACCTGAGGTGAAAGCACAAAGGACGATGGAAGGTTAGGCCGCGGACGGGTTTGGTTGTTTTGTTGTTGTGTTTTTGGTTGGTTTAACATAACGGCATCCCTTACTAGTCTGTACATAGCCTAATTTGCAGCTCCACTTCCTGTGCGGTAATTACACTGCACGGGGGGTGTTGTTGCAAAGTCCTAGTGTATATACTACCCTTTTCACCTTCTATACGGTATTGCATTGGCTCAAGAAATAGTGCATGCTGCAGTGTATCTGTTTTATGGTTAGTAGTGGCTTTTACCTATATTCTACACTTTATATATCTTATCCCATATAGGCTGAGCCGGAAGTGTGGCGTCTCAGATTTGTCCGCATGGAGGGCGCAGACAAAATCATACTTTATCATTACTTTATCCTATATAATTGTTTATGGTTACCCTCTGGTAATTTAACATAGCTATTGAAAATCACAATTTTTAATGGGAAAATCTACTATTAATGGTCATTTTCAATAGCTACGTTAAATTACCAGAGGGTATGTGCCAATATATTGCTTGTAAACCGGCATGATTTTGATTGTCAGCCAAGGTTTTTTATCCGGGCAAACGCTGTGCCTCGGCCAGTGCAGGAATGATGGCGTCATCCTTTGCCAATGTGTTTATGATTTATGTTTAGTTGGTCAACTCGATGGGTTGGTTTAGGGGCTAATGTACAGGAAACCAGGTTTTGCAGTCCCAAAGATAGGTGTTTCCTGCAGTTCTTTCCCGTGAGAACCAACTACGGGATCAACGTTTTTAAGTTGGTTCTGTTTGACACCCGAAATTGACCAACTAGCTGAGTTTGTTTGAAAATAGGGTACCCCAAAATTTGCCAATATTATCGCCATTTCCTCTTTTGACATTGCCGTAAGAACTCGAGCTGAGAGTCTAAATACGAAAGGTACTAAAGGCACGCCTAAATACCTCTACTTATGAATCGCCAAAGCATGATAAACTATGATAAACTAAAAGAGGCTGATCAATCACTGGCAGCTTATAGTTCGATTGTGTTCGAGGTGCCTTGTGGCTTGAAGCCCAACATCCACAAAGACAAAGATGTTGTCCTAGTGGAAAAAGTCAAGTGGCCCTTTAATGGCGGACCATTACATATACGTTTAACCATTTACATTTATCATCATTTATCATCATTTGCCGATGGGTTGTTCAATGTTGTTCTCATCATTTACCTATGGGTTGTTCATATTAAATTGATCAACCAAGCAGCGGACATGGGTTTGCTTGAACATCGTGTGCCCCAGTTCCATCCCTCACGGGGTTCACCCCCCCGTCACCCATTTGTTGGTCAAGCCCAGATAATGGAAGTTCAGAGCTCCGAAGATATTACTCTGCTCTGTTGTCTCCGTGGTAGCGCCCAACAAGTCAAATGGGCACTGAGGAATACTATTCAGATCGGTTGAAAACTGGCGCGATCTCAATTACCAAATCCATCCTGAATGCAGCTGCTTGGCTGTATGCAAACATGATGGGTGTTGCCATGCATCTATGAAGGGGTTAGTCATGTTAGTCCAGAATGACAGTTTGGATGGTGGATGATGACACACCATCCGATTTCTTGGATACTGTGGGTAAAACAAGAATAAACCATCCCCCAGTCATCACCATTTGTATAGGTGGTATAATTACCATTCCTAAACGGGTCGTAATCTTGGCACAAACCCAAATCACCCACTGTAGTTGACCTCCAGTGTGCCTTTTTCAGGTCGGGATACCTGGAAATGATAAGCGCGCAAGGTTGGAAAATGCCGAAGAGAGCGAAGCTTGGCGTTTCCGAAGGGAACAAAGCTTCGGCTATGACAAGACTTGTAGCTGTAGCATGTAGTGCTGAGCTTACTTTCAGCTTCATAATTGCTTACAGATAATGATTGATATTTGGTTGTGTCTTTCAACTATATCAGATTTCAATTCCTTGTGCGGTAATGAGATGGTGATCCGCAACATTCCGCAATGATGTTCAGACTTTCCAGCGGGGAGGTTGAAGCATCCAGCCAGATATTCGTTGATATCTTAGCTTCATTGACGTCTCAGCAAGTCGTGTGGGTTATGACAACGGTTATGATTCTGATCATTCTACTTTAAGGCTGAAGGCTGCCCATGGCTATATCATTGTTTCATATTGTTTCCATTCTTGATATTCAATTCATGCCTTCCATTTTTTTTTGAAACTAGTGTTGCCAACCCAAAGTGTAGATCCCTGAGGAGCCATGTACGGTACCCATCCGAGAGCCTGAGACCCGCCAATCTGCAACGATCAGACCTAAGGCAGCCATGCTGAAACAGATGGTCATGGTCATCAGTGATGTGTTTTTGTCCAAGCGTCAGCCCCTCAGGGGACGGAGAAAAAGAACGTCAGAGAACTTCATGGGGAGTCAGAACTGAAGGTCAAAAAGTATAGAGCCATAGATTTGAAATGATTTTAGTAGATGTATAATAGATGTTCAGGTCGCAGGTTCCCGGACATAGTGATTACACTTGGAACATATAGTTTTATGTCCTTGGAAAATCATGGTTTCCCAACCTTCCTGTAACATTTTTCCTTTATTTCCCTTAAACCAACCCAATGACAAACCAATTACCCCCCGGGAAATCGGAACCCGTGGAACGTAAATTGTTTGAAATCCAATGAAATCCATGGATTTCCACTCAACATCATTACTACAGTCATGGGGGTTCCATACCGACATAGATACTGAGTTGATGATATAATATGGTATTTCTCTACGCCATCATTATACCCACTTTATAGTTGGTGATATACCCCTATAACATGCTTAATGTTGTGTTGTTTTAATTGACAGGCATCCCACTTAGCCATGATATAGTCTCATGTGTTATGTTCCGCAATTCGATCTTAGCATTATCTATCAATATCAACACACACACACAGACACACACACACATATATATATATATATACGTTGATTATATGTATATTATATCTATGATATACCCATGATACCCCCATTATCTCTACATTAGGCTACTATTGCTGTTGTTTCCAATTGATATACCCTTGATACACTCAGTATGATGCCCAAAAAGGCCACGTTTCCGGATGGTGACAAGGTGACTTGTGGCACCTTCAACTGGCCATGATGCAGCAGAGGCATGGCATATCTGTATGCATTGCTGTTTTTGCTGCTATTATACATGTTTACCACTGTTCACCATGTTCATATTTAATCACATACATATATACATATATCTTTACATGTATACACTATACACAGGTACACATATATATATATATATATATATACATATATATATATACATACATATATATATATATATTATATACATACCTTTTCACATATACATATATATATATATTTACATTTTATTCATATTGAAATATACATATATACATATACATATATCGCATAATTATACACATATATATATATATACATATATATAATATATATAGATATACATACATACATATTTGTAGGCACATATCAGCTTTGCGCCAGCTTTGCCAACAGGGGGCGCCTCATTTACTGCGGCTACGGCCAAAACTTTTGCGAACATGTGCCAAAGAGCACCATTGCCTCTTGGTCAAAAATCACCAGATTTGAGCAATTTCAATGGTTGAACACATCGGCCGTAATTAGGATGATAATTTCTTGGGCGACCAGGCTGCTTTTTGGGGGCATCAGACCTACAGAAATGTGAAACATGATGGAACTTCACCTTGACGTTGTGGGTTTAGCTCCGTTGCTCGACCAGCATGCAGGCACAGTTTTTTAAAACCCAACAACTCATCCAGAAAGAAACCAACTTGAATATCAAACAGATGCACTGGGAGGATTGAAACCCATTATTGCCTAGAATGGGTGGGTGAATCTTCAAACCAATACCTTTCTCTCCATTCTTTTCACCGAGCATGTTTCAACATCCCAAGCTTAAGGAACAACTCTTGGGAATGGATGGCAAGCCAGCTTTCTGTGGCAGCGTTGGGGTGAAGACGGAAGTGGTTTTCAGGTGGGGGGTTTGACCGAGCGAGCTCGGGCGGATCTGCCCCGTGCAACCCAGTCATGGATTAGGAGGAAGGGGGTTGATCATGATGATGACGATGACGACGATGACGACGATGATGATGACGACGATGATGTCGATGATGACGACGATGATGATGACGACGATGATGTCGATGATGACGACGATGACAACGATGATGACGACGATGATGATGATGATGACGATGATGACAACGATGATGATGACGATGATGATGATGGTGATGATGATGATGATGATGGTGATGGTGATGACGATGAGGATGATGATGATGATGATGATGATGATGATGATGGTGATAATTAATGGAACATCCAGTTGGACTATGTTTGACCAGACCTGGCTCAGTTTTGTGATGTTCCCTGGCACAAGCGGAGGTCTTCCAGTGCCCACATGTTTCTTCTGATCGAAGTGAGTGCGGATTTGTTCCCTGGCGCTTGTGGAGCTGGAACCCCTTGGGGCTGTGGGGCTGAGCCACTCGGTACGGTACAACTAGGTCCAGGTACTGTACCCCTCGATGACCTCTGAGGTTTCAATATGGGCTGATGGGTTTGCCTTACTGGCAAATCCTGCTGGATTGCCTAGGTGCGACTAGTGGTGAATGTTGCCTGATTCTTTGACTTGGGGGTCCTGAACTTTTTGGGGGTGCGGCGGTGCGGTGAAAAACAGGATCAATTGCAACTATTTGTTGGTGTGTCCATTTCAATAGCGGGAAAAAGGCTAGCTACATTATGCTACATCTTTCAATTCCTTGCTCAAACTTACTTTATTTGATGCGTTCAAATAATATCAAACACCCCTCAGAACCATGGTTTAGTAGTTTAGTATGGTTTAGTTTGATGGTTTAGTGTGGGATTTACACACATTTGGAACCATAAATGGATTTGTTTAATATAGATGGTGATGGGACTATTTTCCCAAAAAACAATCTCATTATATATCCCCAATTTTAAGGTATATATAGTTGGTTCTTTTTTTTTCTATTCCATCTAATATCCCGACTACTGGCTTCCAATTCATCCCGTTACATCCCATAGTCATTTGTCAATATTGATCAATGGGATATACCCAACCATTAATGGTATATATATCCTATCTAATGGGATATCCTATCTAATGGGATATCCTATCTAATGGGATATTGATCAATGGGATATCCTATCTAATGATCATCACTTATATGGTTAATATTAATTGATTGTCATAGATGTCACCCATATGATCCCGGAAAACGACTCTTCCCCATTGAGATGGCCCCGGAAAGGCCAGTGCATTGAGCGGGTTTGTGTGGCGTCCGGCAAGCGCATGAGTGACTTGGGCAGCCAGGTGTTTTGTTGGCAACAAGAATAGATGATTTTAACGATATTTTAATAGGAATATGAACACACATATATATATATAATTATATATATATATGTTAATTAACCCATACACAGTCAACAATACATGATGGGATTGGGCCAACCCCCCATTCAAGGTGACCCGCCCACTAGGGATTCATTGCGGGATATTGAGGGGCTTGTTAACCACCAACCGCTAGCATGGGCATATTCACCATCTATCATTGCATTTCCATGGAATATTTATGGGAGATGGTCGGATGACATGCCTTCACCACTTAGACATTGGGTATTTGTCAGTAGGCAACTGGGCGTAACCAGGGGTTGATTGGCATTACAATCCAATTCAGAAGTGTTAGGAACCCAGCATTGCATGCCCGCCATTTACAAAAAAATATCATGCATTCATGCTTGGAAATTGTGTAGTGTACCTCCAAGCTTACTTCCCTCATGTCGGCCCATCTGTGAACATAGCACAGGAAACAAATAACATAATAACACCTTTGTTGAGATAGATGCAGTAATTCTCCTATCATTTTCATAGTTACCAGAGGGTACCTTACCTATCCTTACCCCATCTTACCCCATTTTACGGGGTTAGAACATGTTAGAATCCATGTTGTTTTTCCCATGGGATTTTCCTACCGTCAGGTCACTACATCCGCGTGCTGCTCTTCGCCCGGCGCAAGCCGACAGAGGGCGGCTGCGGAGCCGCGAAACGCAGCACCTCGGCCACGCGGAAGGACTTCAGCGCCTATGGGCCGCCAGAGAATCACCAGGAGTTGCTGGGCCGCTTGAATTTCACGGGCATATCCTGTATATAAATATTGATTACCCTCTGGTAAACTAACATAGCTATGGAAAATCACATTTTTTAATGGGTAAATCCACTATAAATGGACCATTTTCAATAGCTATGTTAGTTTACCAGAGGGTAATGGATGATAATGGGATGTATATAGCCAACAATATGACAGGTGTGGGACCTGAAAATGGGGGATATGCATTCCATTTTATGGCAATTTGAAAGAGGATCAAGAGTGAAAATGATGATTCATCAGTGGGTCATGGTCATAGTGGGTCGATAACACACACACACACACATGCTGGCAAACTTCTAACAAAACACCTGGCTCCTTTCGTTGCGAGCTCCAAAAACTGTACCTGGCTGCGTTCGAATGCCATAATTTGCCATGTATATAGCTGCAAAATCAAAACCTCATTGTTTTGGCTGTGATTTGCAACTTTGCTACATGTCAAGTCAAATTGGTGTGGATTTTATGCGCTGAATGATGGAGCATGGCCATTTCTGGAACCAGCAGCAGGTCATATTTGTTCTAAGTTTCAAAGCCAGGAAATCCATACGCCTTCCCATGAAAGTCTGCCACAACATGCACTGCCGCACGAGTCCTTGCCAGAGGGATTCTATCAATTTCTATCAGTTTCTCAGAGCATTTCTACCAGAAAAGGCTTCAACCATCACCAATGTCCCTTCGCTGGTACTATGGATCGACTGCATCTCCAGTGGATCCATAGGGCCAGAGTTCCAGGACTATTACGATGTGATTTTTGAGGGCTATGCCTCTGCCATGCCGTCCCCACAAGAACTGCGCAGCCGGGTCACTTGGCGATTGGTGACCTTCTTGGCCGGAAGGGAGCGGTTGGGGTAGAAACAGATTTCCTATTAAACATGGAGCCAGTTTAGGAGCTAGGAATTGAGTTTCCCAAGCAAAGTAATAAATTAGGGTATGGAATGAGTAATTTTACAACCACTCCATTTTAGGAATCTCCACTTTGGCAGATTCCTTTGGGCAAACGACCTGCCAAGTTATCATCAGAAGATCCAAGTGGCCAGCGGGGCTGGACAAGATACTTGAAAGACACGCTTTGGAGGGTCTGGGACCAATGATGAATGCTACATGGCAGGGCAGGAATGAGGGTTCCCATGCTTGCCCCTCCAACCAATACGAAAGAAAACAGGCTATAGCATTCTACAGTTATTAACTATGGTCAAGAAGAAATGATCCCATATTATCACACACACCCTCTGTATATGCAGATGTGTGTGTGTGTGTGTTCAATCTGCTTCCATTGCAGGGGCAGATTGCAGGGTTTCAGCCTGGCAGGGGTCTATATCTTGAAAATTCTTGGAACATATTGGAAAGCAAACCCAATGTTGGTCAATTTAACATCCTTTATGTAACATCCTTTAAGATCCTTTAGCCTTTAACATCCAAAAACGTTGGGTATATAATGGAGATTATAATGGTGTGTATACATATATATATATATGAAAATCCCAATGTTGGCCCCTTTAACATCGTTCGCCCTTTACCGATCATTTGGGGGCCTCCTTTGATGGCTGGACTGAGGTGTCGCAGATCTTCCTGACACTCTTAGAGGAAGAAGAGCGACTTGGAGAGAGGTGGAACAAGTGTTTCTGGATATGTAAGTATATGTGCAAGATAATCCTAATATTGTGCATACATTATATATATGTATGAAGAAGGCTGGCTTTTTTTAGGGTTGCTGACTTCTTACGCTTTATCCAGGTTTATGTGCAAGTGATAAACGGAATTCCGTGGTTAACTGATTTTTAAAATCTGATAAAAGATGGCGAAAACTGTAAGCTCCAATTCAACCAAATCCTTTTTTCTGTTTCCTATTTTTGTTTCGTTTGCACTTTTCCTTTGTTTTTCCATGAGTTCGCTCAGGAAATACAAGCGAGACCCAGCGGCATGGGTGCAGCGACAGGCTTCGCAGTCGCAGGATGTCGAGGCTCCTCGGCCTTGTGAGAATGGGAATGCCCCAATCTATGGGGATCTACCCTCTGGTAATTTAACATGGCTATTGATGTACCTATTCAAAATGGTGAAATTCTATAGCTATGTTAGTTTACTAGAGGGTAACCAACCAAAATGGTGTAGAAATGGTATATCAATGGATAAATTAATGGACCTCTTGGTAATGAAGTTGGGATGGGTCAATACGTATGTAATACGTATGACATATCTGGGATTTTCAAGGTATTATTTTATGATAACAATTGGGAATACTATGCGTTTGTGGAAATGACAGGGATAATAATGGGATTTTATTATATATATATATATTACGTTATTTTACGGTGATGTATCACACAAACATTGGGGATATGAATGGACATTTAATTCCCTCTTGGTAATTTAACATAGCTATTGAACATGGTCAGTTTATGGATGATTTACCTATTAAACATGATGATGTTCCGTAGTAAATTACCGGAGCATATCTTGAATGGACATCCATTTAACGGCTCTTTTGGTGTTCACCAGGTGACCAGGGTTTTGACGCATAACCATATGGCAACATTGGTTTGAAATGCTTGGAAATGATTCACCTGAAAATTGGATGGTTTGGTGGTGCTTAGTCCATTGTTTAGGCCAGACCTGGCCAGTGTTTACCTCGGCCTGGGATGGTTTTGACCAGTTTCAGTGATGAGCTGATGGTTTGGGGCGCGAGAATCCCTTGATAAAAGGGCATCCTGAATCCTGGAACCCAGATCAAAGCCAAAGCAACTGGGACTGGGGAAGGTGATTATATTTGAGTTGCACCTTAGATTCTAGCGGAGAAGTTTCAGAAGCGTTCATCAAATGCGTAAGAATCAAACCTTTGCATCCCCATATTTCCAACACTTTCAAAGAAAATATCCAAGCAAGCCAGTGGGCCAGACTCCAAGAAATCAAAGATGGCGGGTTGCTGGTGAAATCCCCGAACATCCCCGAACTAGCCATGGGGGTTTAGTTCACGGGGAAAATCATGGAAGTCAACGGGGCGTTTTCCAGCCATGGAGCTGATTCCCAGAGGGTGGATCTGAGGCCAGCCCCTGGGGAAGGATGAGGGCAGGCGAACTGGTTGAGTCGGAGCAAGGCCTGCTGAGTCGCTGAATTTCTGGGCCAGGATCATTTCGTAAATTTGACATCCAACTAGATAAAGTGGTATGTATATATATATATATATATGTGTGTGTGATACTTTCTTTTACCATTTTTTACCTTTTTTTTTAGGGGGTTGCCAGAAATGATATCTTCAGTGGCTGGCGACTTTGATTTGAGCAGGAATATGATCTTGTTTTGGGGGTTTGAGTAATTTTGTGGACTTCAGGAGTGAGTCCATGATGGAAATTCCTGTGAAGCAACTAGGCATGGCCATTCGCCATCATCGCCGGGTTCAGCACTGTTCAACATCTATTCAGAATTTTGAGGTCCTGACCTTATTCAGGTCCAAACCTTTGACAAAGTTGACGACCTGCCAGGCAATCTCCTGGAGTGTTTGAATCTGGCCTTGAATCATTTTGATCAACACCACTTGGATCGGCTTTTGAAAGCCAGCGGTCAGGTGCCTCGGGCCGGCGGAGGGGATCTGACTTGAATCCATCCCTCAGTCATCACCATTTTTATAGGTGGTATGGTTACCATTCGCAAGTGGGTGGTTTATGACATTGTTTTGCCCACATCAAGAGTTTATAGGAAATTCTTATTCTTGAGCCAAGAAACCTTGAATTCCACATGTTCCTGGCTGGGGGTGACACCGCCAAACGGTTGGCATGGCCGTGAGGTGGTGGTCATCATGACTGCTGGCTGCGGCCTCATCCGAACGAGAACCAAAGAGCTTTATCTGTTGACCAACCGACGATGTACCTTGACCTTTGCTGGTCCGAAGCGGTGTGGATGGTGTGGCCGCCTCTGCTTCGAGATTACCTCATTTATGCATTGATTCCATGGTGCTGTTCATTTATTACATCATGTTACCATAGTCATTACCATATTAATATGCACAGACACACACACCTACACCCTACACACACACATATATATATATACTGGTTGGTGGTTTGGAACATTTGTTTTTCTCCATATATTGGGGATGTCATCATCCCAACTGACTAATATTTTTCAGAGGGGTTGAAACCACCAACCAGACATATATATATTTATACATATCAATTACTATATGTTTGGGGCAATAATCCATTCACATCCATTCCTGCAGCTTCCAGGCATCGCCGCCGGGCACACGTCCTTCCGGCTAGTGGGAGTCAAAGATCCCCCATGGCATCGGGTGCCATGGGTGCAGTGGCCAGGAGCCGAACATGGGGATTTTTCGATGGTTTAACTCATCAAAATTATTCCCCAAAAAATGTGGTCAACCACTGGTAACTTGGTCATGTTTTAATATGGCTGTTCTGTAAGTTTTAGTCCGGTCTTGGGAAAATCATCGATCGGGATTAGTGTTAACCAAGGATTTTGCCAAACCTCCAGTTTCCTTATTGTGCGAGTGTACCAACTTTTATCCAATTGTCAATTGGTACTTTGGTGTACTTCTAATTTATCAGCATGTGGGTGGTAACTCCCAAATTAAACGTCGGGGTTTATGGATCTGGGGTTGACATTAACTGCTGGTTGAGGAAATAATTATATAAACGGCTGAAAGACTTGAGTTTCTCACCAACGATCAGAACACTTGGGTTTCAACATTTTGTGCCATGTCCATGGTTTAAGCCTAAACTCCTTTACGATGGGCTTTGGGAACTTCAAGCTTAGTTGAGGCGTAGTTGACAGGCTTCAATATCAACCAGTGCAGCATATGATACGCCTAATATTTCAGTGTATTTTTTCCATAGAAACGTCTGGAGGTCAGACCCACATTCTGCCACCACTCCATCTTCGCGACAGGAGGCCCCACATTGCAAGACTTGGTGGTACCAACTCAGTGACTTGGACATGCCAGATCAGATGAGCCATTGAACATATACCTCTGTTGATTGGTTTATGTTTACATAGGTATATATATAAGGGCCTCTACCAACTGATTCAGTGTGGATTATATATGAATGGTTATGATGACTATTGATGACCCATAACGGGATAGCCACTTCCCAGTACGAGATGGGATAGGGCTGTGTTTCATGGCTGGCTTTCAGGGTCCAGATGCCCTTCTGAGGCCACCCGAATGGGAAGGAGACATGCGTTTGTCGCCCTTCCCCTCGTGGTTGTCCTACATTCCCTACCAGGTGGGCGTCGTGAGAGCTGAGGGGTGATCAGTTGGTGCTTTTTCGTGCACAGGAGGCGGTATTCTGCCCGTGTTTGGACAACAAAGAGCCATGGCTTGAAATTGGCCCGTCCGTAGGGGTGGAAATGGGGCTGTGGGATGCTCTGCTATGGGTTGCCAAGAATGGGTATGGGCCAAAATGTGAGGCTCTGAGGCCCATAGGTGCTGATATGATATGCCTCGATTTGATTATTTTTGTCAAGTCAACCGTCCAGTTTTGCTGGTATAGCTAAACATTTTCTGCTGAAACAACTCCATCCCTCAATTTTGGCCGCTCAAAACCATCCAAAACCCAGCTGAAACATCCCACACACATACAATCTCTACAGTTGCTAAAACCCATCCATAGACATCCCTTAAGTTGGACTCCTTTTTTTCTTATGTATTTCCTCATGTGTGTCATGGTCAAAAGTTGTCAAGTACGCAGATTGAAAACTCTACAACGCCGCTACAAGTCGCTTCCGCTTGATGCAAGTGGCAATCCAACGACCAGAGGGATGCCTTACTTGAGTGGAAATGTATCCTTGATGCGAAGGGGTATGGAAACAATGGAAGAACTGGATCATTTCAAATTTCATTTGAAGTTGTACCTGCTCTTTCAATGTGGCTTCCTGACCATGACACGCTTGATCTGGTTGCACAAGTTACATAGCATGATTGTGACGCAGCATGCCGTGAAGAAGCCAGAAGGAGATCGGATGCCTTCAAATGCAAAGTTCAGATCGGTGGGACTGATGATTATAGTCGTGTGCCCTATAAGATCATTCGTGCAAAAGAATCTGCGCCGCCGACGGATCTTCCTGTTGACAAGAAAGTTCGTGCAGCCCTTCTGAGATCCAGAAAGGGACAGAATGCTCTGAAGTTGAACGAATTTGTGCACATTCCTCAGTATGCCAAATTGTTTATGAACGATGTGGAATTGGAATTTCTTGCCCAAGATGAGTGCAAAGTATTTTTCAAACAAAAGGGAGATGCCGCTGGTAGGTGTGCTTACCATCTCGTATGTCGCCGTCACCCCTGGTGAAATTGCCAATGAATTTGCTGATTTCTGGAGGCATCCCTACCCTCTTAAAAATGAAATTTGAGGGGGGGAGCCGCACTGAAATTTCATTTTAAAATTCAATTTTTGCATGTATTTTTCTCAATGATCAACATTCCTCGTCATTCCATACCATTGCAGCACATGTGTAGGGGTGGCATTCCTCTAAAAATTGCGTTGCCATAAGCGCAAGTATTTTCTAACCAGCGCCCAAGGCTTGTCAAGAAATGTTACTTTAAAATTCCATTTGAGCAATTGGATCACTATCCCAGGGTTTCCAAGCAAAAAAAAGTGGAATTCGACAGGTTGGTTTTGTCCCCCCCCACCCTCCCCTTCTAAAGGGGTAGGGATCTGGAGGCCATTTTGGCTGCGTGACAAAAGAGAGGAACAATTCTCGGATGACACATGGCAACCCTTCTTGGAGCTATTTGAACAGGTGCAATTGCCGGAGATTCCTGAGATTTCCATACCTTTTCCATGATGTTGATGCATGGATCAAAGTGATCAAACCCTTGCCACCTGGCAAAGCTGTCGGTCCATGTGGGTGGTCGAATGATGAATTGAAGCTGTTACCAAACATATGCATTTCTGATCTTGCTTGGATCTTTCAGATAATTGCACATACTGGGTACCACAGTCTATCAACCACACAGGACCGATTAAGATATTGAGCTGCCTATATCGTCTGTTCAGCAGGTTTGTTTTCAGACACACGGCTGCCGTTTGGAAAAAGCATTTGCCACTTTCAATTTCAGGTGGTTTGCCCAGCAGAGGTGTTACGGAGCTTGCGTCAGATCGAAGACGAAGATGATATGTGACAAAAGCCTGCTGGGAGGCTTTTCGCTTGACCTCATGAAGGGCTTATACAACACCTTTGGAAGGTTTGTGGTTAACCGCATTATGTGCCGACTTGGAATGCCTGCATCAATTTTGAATGCATGGGTTGCCAGCTTGGACCGTTTGATCAGATACCCATGCGTGAATGGACACTATGCTGAAGGCATTACTAGCACCACTGGTGTCCCGGAAGGATGTTCGATTAGTGTGCTTTCCATGATTGCAACATCGACAGTGTATGCTTCAGAACTGCAACGTTGACCCACATGCATATGCTGACAATTGGAGCTGGATGTCAAAACAGCAAAGAGCCCATTTTGAAGCTTCTGAGAAAATACGTCATCTTGTGCAGACCATGCGTTTAGCCGCTATAGCCATTGATCACCAAAAAAGCTGGCATTGGAGCACCTCCAAACCTTTTTTAGAGATGCCTGTGAAATGATGGATCCAATCGATGGTGTGTCTCCTACTGTCAAGACGATAATTAACTTCGACTTTTGGTGTTGCACGCCTCTTAGGGTTTCTTTCATTTTGCCATTGGTCAGTCTTACCCGCCATCTGATCTTGGGATGACTGACAGCGAGTCGACGACACGCAAGCTCCGAGTCAAAAGTTGGATTCATTCTATACTGCATATAAGACTATATAAGCCCATATTGGGAGATGGTCATCCCCCAAAAAAGGGCTTAATACACTTACTGTATATAAGGATTCTCATTCATGTTGGTGGGGTGGCCAGAACCCATCAATTCCATGTGTATAGCAGCTTCCCATTTCTCATGAGAGCCATGAAAGATACCCGGTTTCCCATCTCATGAAATACTAGTTGGATCTGGTTGGTTCCCCTACTGTTATCAAAAATTATATCATATTATCATAATGCCCAACTCTTGGAGTAGTGTAACTCCCTTGTTTTTGGTAGCTACTGCCTTTTTTCACCAGGATTGTCCCATCAGGACTGGGTGAAGGCTGGCTTCCTGCCGCTCTTGGACTCGCCTCCGAGCGGTTGCACCGTGCCGGTGCCACTTTGGAGTCATGGCATTTGCACGGTGGAGGAACAGCCAAAGCGAGCGGTGCAGGACGGCGTCACCGGGCAGGGTCGAAATGGGACATGGTATAAGCAGCACAAACTTGGGGATATTCTGGTGATAGAAGTGCCAAACTATGACATCTGATATATTATGATATATTCTGATAATATTCTGATATATCAATATGATTATGTTATTGTGATTTAATCAACAAACTATTATAGGACACATAGGTGATATAACCAACAAACTATGATAGAATACATTGGTGATATAAGAAGAGTGACAGGCTAGCACTTAGAATACTTTGGTTTCAATCCTGGAGCTTCAGCGGGCTCCGTTTGAGCTCCGGGTGAAAATTTCCACAATATTCTATCTGCATTGCGCTTAGAATTTTCGATACTGAAGATATCAATAACATTACTTCTTGAAATGTTTATGGAAACAATACTTCTTTGAAAGAGCTGCTGAATAGTTATGCTCAATAGCTGCTCAATAGCTGCCAAATAGCTGCCAAATAGCTGCTAAATAGCTGCTCAATAGCTGCTCAATAGCTGCTAAATAGTTGCTAAATAACTGCTAAATAGTTGCTAAATAGCTGCTAAATAGTTGCTAAATAGCTGCTAAATTGCTAAATAGTTGCTAAATAGTTGCCGAACAACTGCTAAATAGCTGATAAAATGCCTTCTAAATAGCTTCTAAATAGTTGTTGAATGAGTGCTAAATAGCTGCTCAATAGCTGCTGAATAGCTGCTAAATAGTTACTACATAGCTGCTCAATAGCTGCTCAATTGCTGCTAAATAGAACAAGGAGATGAATGGATTCATGTGACTTTGGAATGTTCTAACTGCTATATAATGTGTTCAAAAATATTCTAAGTTGAACTCTGTATCATTTTGGAACATTCTAACTGCCAGAGGTTTAATTTTGAATTATTCTAACTGCTAGCAGGTTATTATATATACAGGAAACTATGGGGATATAATGGTGACATAACTAACAAAAAATATGTACATATACCTATATATGTGAACGCAATGGTGATATGAAAAGACACTATGGGTGTTTCAACCGGATACAATGGTGAGATAACTGTTATGTACTATACATAATCAACTGAGCAAAGACCTCAAAGGCTCATGCAGAAGCCTTTACATAAGAGGTCCTATGATAGAGTCCTATGGTTGAACATATGTCGCAAACCACGGAAAGCGATATAGTGAACTACTTACAGCGATAACGTGATTTGATGGTGAAGTTGAAAGGTGTTGTTTTCTGCAGCGATTCGGGATTGTATAGTAACTCCGTACGTATTGTTTTTGTATCCGTTGGATGTGAACCCAAGTGCTCCCAAAAGGCCTAGAGCACGCAGAGAACTGGCTCCCAAACCCTCTTACGACACAAACTCTGGAAAGCAGCGCCTGCGCCTGAGAAACGATCTTTCACATGTTTCCTGCTTTTCACAAGATGAAATTAGCGATAGCCTTACCGATAACGTAGCAATAACCAGAAATTGCAGTGGCCCCGGGCAGAGATCCAGTTCATCCTCGGAGTGGCGATGATCCACAGAGATGAACAGAATCTGAAACAGAAGGCGCGCAACAATGCAAAAACCAAACTGTTCTGAGGAAAAATATTTCCGCACTTTGAAGAAAAACAGCTGACTGCTGACCACGAAGTGCCCCTATTGTTGATGTGGAGATGATTTGAAATGGGCGCCCAAATCAATAGCCATTGTTTGTCATGTTACAAAACTATATAGAGCGATGTAACAAAGTACCTAACACGACAATTTTTGCTCATGACCGCCTTTGCGACCCTTAGTTCAACTATATTGGGGATGTGATACCCCATATTGTTTTCTAAGCCTCCCATTTCTGGTGAACTCTGCAGTTTTTGATGGTGAAACTGATTTTTGCACGGTGAAACTCACAAGTTGCTGTGTGTAATTCAGTTGTCGTTGTTGGATTCCTTGTTTTTGCTGGTGTTGAAATCGTCAATTCTATTCCTGAACTCCAACATTTTCCTGTAGCCGTGGCAAGATAGTGTCAAAACCGATTGCAAATTCAGTTTTCACCTTTTCACTGGATATAGTTATAGGTTAGTTGTTGCTGAATTCATTCAAAGTCAATCACTGTTATAACTGTTATACATACTGTGTATATATATATATATGCAGTTATTTTCATATTGGTGTACGGTACCTATCACATCTATATACTATATGCTAACTAGCTTTTTAAAACAATGATCATGAATCATTAATGATCATTACTATAAGATTTACAGTAATCTATTATTAATGTTCCCCTTGTTAAAACTATTCATTGACAACCATTCATCAGACTGTAACATTCCCAGGTTGATATTTTTGTGTTATCTCGGCACCCCGCACCAGGAACTTCCAGAGCTTTCGCCCAAGTCCATGCCAAGCTTCCCCGGCAACGGGCCTGCGTTGCTGGATTACCAAACGGTGCTTGGAGGGCCAGTTCGTTGGAAAAATGTCGGTTGAATGGACGTGAAATTAAATGATTTTAATGTATTTTATGATAGTTAAGTTGACTGATAACTTGGTTAAGTAGGAGTTATGGGGAATAATTAACTGTAGGTAAAGTGGTAAAGCCAATGCCATACACCTCTACCCTTTGTGGATGGTTTATACCAATGCAATCGATTTATGATGATTTGTGGAATTGTTAATCATTGGGTTTACCACATTAGGATACATTGGTGATATTAGTACCAAACTCCGGAGATAATAATGTTGGACGCCTGGCTATGGGGGTTGTTCGAAGGGATTTTTTTTGGATAACAATAGGATACAATGGTGATATAACGGTGGTACAATCGTGGTACAGATAACCAACCACAATAGACTATGATAATGATTTTGAGATGTAAAACCAACCAGACTTGCAATAAAACCCCCAACCATGTCATGCGAATACCATAAGGGTAAAATGGGGTAAGGATATGATGGGAATATAAAGGGGTGTATCATAGGCAGCATGTATCATTCCCGTGTTCGTTGTGAAATCCTGGTTTTCCATAAAACCAAAACTACTATTTTCATGTGCTTTCACGGGAAACATGGTCACAAACCATGGAAATTTGCTGTGCCCAATTTTTGGGCAAACCCTTGTACAGGTACATGTACATATGACAAATGAAAAATGATGCCATACGATGCCTGCATATGCCACTATTAAAACTAGGGATGTCAGCAGGAAGGACTGAGGGGTCAGAATCTGGGCTGAGACGGACCCGGCCCTAAGCCAACGCCGCCTCTGTTGGGGAATTATTGCTCAATATTGTTCAGATTTCTGGCAGCACTTCCATTGTTCACAACATTAAACTACCTTTGTTGTTCCCGAGAGCGTCTGAGCGCAGGGTTCTTCCAATAGTGGGGGTCTGTAAAACATCTTCTCATCTTCACATCTCATCTTCACATCCTCTCATCTTCACATCTGCTCATCTTCACACCTTCCCATCTTCACATCTGCTCATCTTCACATCTGCTCATCTTCACACCTTCTTTCACATCTTCTCATCTTCACATCTGCTCATCTTCACATCTGCTCATCTTCACATCTGCTCATCTTCACATCTGCTCATCTTCACATCTGCTCACATCTGCTCATCTCACATCTTCTCTCACATCTTCTCTCACATCTGCTCATCTTCACATCTGCTCATCTTCACATCTGCTCATCTTCACATCTGCTCATCTTCACATCTGCTCATCTTCACATCTGCTCATCTTCACATCTTCTCTCACATCTGCTCATCTTCACATCTGCTCATCTTCACACCTTCTCTCACATCTGCTCATCTTCACATCTGCTCATCTTCTCTCACATCTTCTCTCACTCTTCTTCTCTCTCTCGCCTTCTTTTTATCTTTCTCTCTTAAGGCCGAGGGTGGTGCCGGCGGCGAGTCACGAAACGCCAACCCTTTCGCACGAAATGAGGGTCGATCGGCAAAAACTGAGGTAAAACTGCGATTTGACTTGCCCCGGAGCAACCCTTTCGCACGAAATGAGGGTCGATCGGCAAAAACTGTGGTAAAATTGCGATTTGACTTGCCCCGGAGCAACCCTTTCGCACGAAATGAAGGTCGATCGGCAAAAACTGAGGTAAAATTGCGATTTGACTTGTCCCGGAGCACCCCTTTCGCACGAAATGAGGGTCGATCGGCAAAAACTGAGGTAAAATTGCGATTTTACTTGTCCTGGAGCACCCCTTTCGCACGAAATGAGGGTCGATCGGCAAAAACTGAGGTAAAACTGCGATTTTACTTGTCCTGGAGCAACCCTTTTGCACGAAATGAGGGTCGATCGGCAAAAACTGAGGTAAAACTGCGATTTTACTTGTGCCGGAGCAACCCTTTCGCACGAAATGAGGGTCGATCGGCAAAAACTGAGGTAAAAGTGCAATTTTACTTGTGCCGTTCTTGTCTGTGTGTAAAAGCGCCTGTGTGTAAAAAGCGTCTGTGTGTAAAAGTCTCTGTGTGTAAAAGTCTCTGTCGTGTGTGTCAAAGTGTCTGTGTGTAAAAGCGTCTGTGTGTAAAAGTGTTTGTGTGTAAAAGTGTTTGTGTGTAAAAGCCTCTGTGTGTAAAAGCCTCTGTGTGTAAAAGCGTCTGCGTGTAAAAGCGTCTGTGTGTAAAAGAGTTTCTGTGTAAAAGTGTTTGTGTGTAAAAGTGCCTGTGTGTAAAAGCGTCTATGTGTAAAAGCTTCTGTGTGTACAAGCATTTGTGTGTAAAAGCAACTCCTGTGTGTAAAAGGGTCTGTGTGTAAAAGTGTCTGTGTGTAAACGTATCTGTGTGTAAACGTGTCTGTGTAAAAGCTTCTGTATGTAAAAGCTTCTGCGGGTAAAAGCTTTCTGTGTAAAAGTGTCTGTGTAAAAGCTACTGTGTGTAAAAGCTTCTCACTATTTGGTCTTGATACTCCTCTTCTCGACTGCCTATAACACATCTTTCATACATCGTTTCTAAAATTGCGTCTCCATACTAACAAGAGAAGACCCTGCTCCTCTACGCTCTCGGGCCATCCGTCGTCTAGTTTTTTTTTTCGCAGTTTGAAGTGGTGGTTGCAACATGAAATTTCATGAAACTAGTGGTGCGACTCTTTTGATTCCAGCTTTGGATAGTTTTTTGATGTTTTTTGTTTGTTTTTTTTTGGAACTGGTCCACTAAACTTATATAATAGTCTAGCGATTATGTATATAATCTTTGTATATCATGGTTAAACATGGAGGTATCAGCAAGGTATCCAGGTGGTTGGGACACCTGAGGCTAAGATCTTTCCGCATCTCTTCTAACCAGAAGACCTGGGATGAGATAAGGCCTGGGACGACCATAGGAAAGGGGAAAACTCGGAGAGTCTCGTTCCAACACGTTCCAACTACGAGGCTTGCATTTGCCCCAAATGAATAGAAGATCAAGTTTCGATGGTGTTTGGGTCCGTTTTCCTGTGGGATCAGCCCTGTAGGCTTCCTCGTTTGAGAGCCCACCTGAGCAAATCCAAAAAGGGATGCGACTGCTACGCACCAGTGACTTGGCCAATGATGGAGCTTTGAATGGGACAACAGAGAGGTTTTAATGGGAAAACATCTAAACATGGTGAATACATGGTGATACATGATGGTTTACTAGGAAAACACATCTATAAATGGTGGGTTTTAATGGGAAAGCATGGATAAACATTGAAGAACCATCTCTGAATATCTCTGAATGATGGATTGGATTTTCCATGCCAGGTTTGAATATCCACATGGATACCGTAGTCGGCGAACTCATTGCACTTTGAGACTTTGAGAATATTGAAGGTGCTGGGTCTCTATTGGAAAAATATTGGCAAATTACAAGAAGGCTACTTGTACTGTAGATACCCTTGAGTTTGTAACCCATTTAGATTGGGGGTGGCCATGTGCCCTCCAGTAGTCTAATCTGGAAATGGATAATGGATGAGAATGGATAATTCACATTAATTCACCCTAGGCTTTTGAATTCTTTTGAAGCAAACCATTTCTCTTGGCCAAGGGGAGGTTCCGATGACTGAGCGTGATGTCGTCGGGTTGCAGAACCCCAAGTTTGACCCATACGGCCCATACCCATTTTACAGACTACAGTCGCATTTTTTTTTTTTATTTTCAGGTCGTGGGCCGAAATTCATCGGAAAACTGCAGGTTACCCGGTTACCCCTTATAATCCCTAGTATACAGGATGGAATTCTCGTATGTTCTCAGAAGTTTCCGGAGTTTTCCGACAAGGTCGCATACTCGGTGAATCCTCAGCGCTTTGGGCAGAGCGAGGGCAGGGAATCCTGGAGGATCCGGACATCCAGTGGAACCAGCGGGGAACATGGTAGAATCACTTTCTTAAGACTGCGGATAGGGATTTCACATTTTCTTTTTCCTCAACGGTCTTTAATATGTTAAATATCATATTACATATATGTACATCTATGGTTGAAATTATATAAATGAATAATTGATGATTTTGATGTTTTCCACCCTTTAGCTCGGACGATCTTGGATAATGATTCAAACTGACTGAGAATCTTTGAGATGGGTTGAAATCACCAACATTTCAGTGCAGTGTCATGGTCTCCCCTGTCTCCCCGTGATCCTCGAGCAGAGCACGGACTCATTGGAAAATGGGGGATGTGCAACGGCTTCAAGTTGCCAAAGTGCTATGTTTGATTGGGAAAATCATGACATAGCGCAAAGCCATGGAATTTCACGGGGGTCCCATGCTTTGGCATATGAGGACTGATTATGACAAACCTACGTGGCCAACTTTCGGCTCAAGGGCGAAAGGATTGGCGTCTCAGGCTCGCTGTCCGCTTTGGTGCTACCTGTTGGCTGGCAACCGAAAGTGTGACCGTGTCTGTTTGCGCTTGCCGCGGAAAGGCAACGCAATTGTGGCTTGGATTAAAGTTGACACATTGTGATACAATGGCCATTTTCCACCTTTGAGCAGCTTTAGCAATCTGTTTTAAGCATCGGGGGTGCGGTGAAAAAATGTAAAAAAAGTTGATTGAGTGAAGTTTTCTAAACTAATATCATAACAGTATATATACCAACTCAAAATTTATTCATTAAAAAACATACCAGTCTAAAAAGTTTTGATTAGCATTGTTGGTTGCTGCATTTTTCTCAACAATATCAAAACATAATTACCTCATTCAATTTTTCAATAATCATACCAGTCAAAAACATGATTACCTCAATTACCTCATTCAATTTTTCAAAAATCGTACCAGTCAAAAACAGAATTACCTCATTCGATTTTTCAAAAAACCTACCAGTCAAAAACATAATTACCTCATTCAATTTTTCAAAAATCATACCAGTCAAAAACAGAATTACCTCATTCAATTTTGCAAAAACCATACCAGTCAAAAGCAAATTTACCACATTCATTTCATAAAAAACACATAACAGTCAATTCATCATTCATTTCTCAAAAATCATCACTACTAACTATATCATCATCTCATTCATGATTTACCCATTGATATGTTGAGTAAAAGTGCTTCTTAAAAATTGGAGACCCTAAATATTTGAAGTTTAAATATTGTCATATTGAGGCATTAAAGAGAATACAAAATAAGTATAAGTTTTCAAGACCTGGTTCTAAAATAACAAGACATTTGAAATCAAGAGAAAAAATACATAATATATATATAATTGAATACTGTATTATGAGAGAGGGAGTGCCATTTAGTTTAAAAAGTTTAGAAGACATAATATCAGAAGAAAAAGAAGAATTTTTATCTTTAATTTATGAAGAAGTAGAATATTACTTAAATTATAGAGTTACACATGTATTGAAGTTCAATTAGTGGCAAAACTTCCAGATAAAGAATATGGTGAACATGAGTTTAGTTTTAGGGAAATTTACTTTATGAATGGCTTTGATGAATATGTAGATGAAGATAATATAGACGAAGTATTAAATAAAGCAGTTGAAGAAATAAAAACCGATATATGAAGACCAAGATAAAGATAGTATAACAGGAATACAAGCATTTCATTTTGAATTAATAATTATTGAAGAGATTTAATACTAACATATTTCTAATAATATTTATTTATTAGAATTATGGATTTGTAAGATAGGGTTATTAAAGGGTAGGGAATAATGTTTATTGTTGTCTATTGTTTTGTTTTTAATGGTGTTCTTTGCTTGGCTTGTTTTTGTTTTTTGGTTGTTATAGGAATTCTTGGAAAATACATTTAAGAAGATAATCATATTTATATGTAATGGGTAAATTTTGTAGATACTGTGTTAAAGATTTACCAATTGATAATTTTGAAGATGGATTGAAGACTTGTAAGAAATGCTTGGAATACAAGAGAAAGAACTATGACAAACATAAAGATAAAGTGAATGAAACACGAAGAACTAAATATAAAGAAGATGAAGAATATAGAAAAAGAAACAGGAACAAATACAAAACTATCGTGATAAAGTTGCCTTTTGTAATGTATGTAATTCATCAATGAAGGCACAATGTTATTCAAGACATTTCAAAACAGAGAAGCATACAAAGGAATTTAGGAACGGTTGGTGGATAGGATTTTGTAAAATGAATAAGGTAATAATGCGTTTGACTGCTATGATTTTGAAAAATGAATGAGGTAAGTATGCTTTGACAAATTGAATGAGGTAATTGTGTTTTGACTGCTATGATTTTGAAAAATGAATGAGGTAAGTATGCTTTGACTGCTATGATTTTGAAAAAATGAATGAGGTAATTATGTTTTGACTGCTATGATTTTGAAAAATGAATGAGGTAAGTATGCTTTGACTGCTATGATTTTGAAAAATTGAATGAGGTAATTATGTTTTGATATTGTTGAGAAAAATGAAGTAATCAACAATATTTAAACTGACTTTTTGGACTGTTATGTTTTTTTAATGAATAAATTTTGATTTGCTATACTGCTATGATATTAGTTGAGAAAACTTCACTGAATCAACTTTTTTTACATTTTTTCGGTGCAGCGAAATGAGCTTGATTATCATGGGTTCTATCTACCTCGCAAGCTGGATTTATTTGTTATACACGACTTGCCAGATGATCACAAGTAGGGCTGCAGTCAGTCCACCTTTCTGTGCTTCCACAATGCAGACATCTGTATGGTTTGCATTCATGTTTGCACTCCAGAGAACTTTCTCGTTGAGTACGCACTAGCCTGTCAATCTTGTGGAAGCCGAGGTTGCATTTCGCCGCGGTTTGCGTGCAAATTTGGCACGTGTAGTCGCTGGTCAGTTGCTTCAGCACCGGAATCCAGTTGCCAACCAGCCCTATTTTGTCCACTTTTGTGAGGACAGTGTAGCCCAACATATGGATCAAATGGTCTCTCTCTCTATATATATTTTTATATAATATATACAGTGAATGAATATATAATTACACGTTCCAATACCAAAGGATACCGAAGGTACCTGGAGCTGGATTTGGCGACTGAATTCCGCAGATTTTTGTTTTTCCTCCTGCAGTCAGCAGTCACTGGCTGACAAGCCGGTCCTGGGCCTTGGCGCATTGTGAGGCCGGAGCGGGAAAACTGTTCCTTTGGCACCGCTGAGTGATTGACGTCGATTCGATGGCAGCGATGGTCGATTCCGAGACCTTCGCGCCTTGGGAGATGATTAGCAAATAGGTTCAGGAGATGAATCTGTCGAGATTGCATAGGTGAGAAGTGCCAAGCAACATGATGAAATCGTCGCTTGCTTTAATCTGACAACTTGTTGATGTGCAAATTCTCACACCTAACTAATTATATCTAACTGGCCTCTTTGATCTCAAGAGAGAGAGAGAGAGCACCCATGCAGCATTACACTGCTTAGCATGCTGAGCCGAGCGACCGGCTAAGGTTCTTTGTGATTTGTCCTCCAGCAGACTTCCAATTTTGCACGCCAGCCCTGGCTTTCAGAAGATGTACGGCCAGGGCGGGAACAGCTTTTTGGACTCTTGGGCTGCGGCTGGTGACTGATGACATCTGATGACCCAAGCAACCATTCTGGCAATGGATGTCGTGTCCATGACTGGCACCGCTGAACGCTCAAGGTTCGTTTGTTGTTGATTAATTCTTTGTTGTTGATTAATTACCATGGATTTTCTAGGATTTTCTGTGTCAGCGATCAGCCGTATTTTGGGCTAATTACTGACCTGCCAGTTGGGGATGGATATTCGTGGGGCATCCACAGCATCAATTGATGTTCTAAAGGTGAATGATCTCGCGCCTCAATCATCCTGGAATCATTGGATTGACATATGCTGGCCATCACTACATCACTACATAACTGACCGTTATCAAGATAGACAGTGATATACCATATTATACCATCATATACTCGCCATTAAGATCATGCATGGTTGTGAACTGGTGTGCAGATACCAGTAGTACCGCACAAGGCGGTGGCGGAAGTTTCAAAAATAGGAAACCTACAGGAGAAGCTGGTTGTTGTGAATCACGGATGGCAGAGCGAAGCCACTGATGGATCGAAAGGTGGTTGAGGTCTCCTCTCTTTCTCTCTCTTTCTCTGATTATTTATCTACCTATCTAGCTATCTATCTACCTAGCTATCTATCTATCTACCTACCTATCTATCTATCTATCTATCTACCTAGATGTCTATCTATCTATCTACCTAGATGTCTATCTATCTATCTATCTACCTAGATGTCTATCTATCTATCTATCTATCTATTTATCTATCTTTTTTATCTATCTATCTATTTATCTATCTATCTGTGTTTTCTATCTATATGTTTTTCTATCTATATGTTTTTCTATCTATCTGTTTTTTTTCTATCTATCTGTTTTTCTATTTATCTATCTATCTACCTACCTATCTATCTATCTACCCACCTATTTACCTATCTATCTATCTATTCTATCTATTCTATTTATCTACATATCTACCTATCTATCTATCTATCTATCTACCCATTTGTCTATCTATCTGTTTTTCTATCTATCTGTTTTTTTTTCCTATCTATCTGTTTTTTCTATCTATTTGTTTTTCTATCTATCTATCTATCTATCTATCCACCTATCTACCTATCTATCTATCTATCGATCCATCCATCTATCTATCTATCTATCTATCTATCTATCTATCTATCCACCAATCTACCTATCTATCTATCTATCTATCTAACCTATCTAATCTATCTAATCTATCTAATCTATCTAATCTATCTAATCTATCTAAATCTATCTATTCTATTTTAGTCTATCCTATTCTATTCTTTCTATTCTATCTATTCTATCTAATCTAATCTAACCTACTCTAACCTAACCTAATCTAATCTAATCTATCTATCCTATCTATCCTATCTATCCTATCTATCCGATCCATCCTATCTATCCTATCTATCCTATCTATCCTATCTATCCTATCTATCCTATCTATCCTATCTATCCTATCTATCCTATCTATCCTATCTATCCTATCTATCCTATCTATCCTATCTATCCTATCTATCTATCTACCTATCTATCTAATCTAATCTAATCTAATCTAATCTAATCTAATCTAATCTAATCTAATCTAATCTATCTAATCTATCTAATCTACCTATCTATCTAATCTATCTAATCTATCTAATCTATCTAATCTATCTAATCTATCTAATCTATCTAATCTATATGATCTATATGATCTATATGATCTATATGATCTATCTATCTATCTATTTTTCTTTCTATTCTATTCTATTCTATTCCGTTCTGTTCTATTCTATTCTATTCCTATTCTAATTCCAATTCTAATTCTAATTCTATTCTATTCTATTCTATTCTATTCCATTCTATTCTATTCTATTCTATCTATCTATCTAATCTATCTAATCTATATGATCTATCTATCTATCTATCTATCTATCTATCTATCTATCTATCTATCTATCTATCTATCTATCTATCTAATCTATCTATTCTATATGATCTATCTATCTGTTCTATTCTATTCTATTCTGTTCTATTCTATTCTATTCTATTCTATACTCTATATTCTATATTCTATTCTATTCTATTCTTTTCATTCTATC